GTAAGGAATATATGGTAAATATTCTGTTTATATTTCTGGTCTCAATATTTTTTTAGCATATTGGTTTTAGCAATTGTTATTTTGATACTATGCAGCTTGATATGTTGGTAGATGTGTTAGTTGGTTTTGAAGAATGCAATGTTGTCATACGATTGTTGTTTCTCTTTTGAAGAGTAAAGAATAATGCTGGTGTTTTTCATTAGCAGATATGGTACATTTCAGTGAAATGTTATTGCATATTTTGTAGTTAGTATACAAACATCATAATGTTCTGGATTTGCATGTTTTGTAGTTGGGGTAGTTCTATTCTGTAGTATGCATACTGACCACAGATTATTTCTTTTCTTTGAAATGAAAAAGTAACAGAGAGATGTACATGGGAGACCTATGACAGTGCATTAGATTTCTTGTACTGATGCATTTCTTCCAAGAATCATATGCATTTTAAGTCTTCTCAACTGCTTCTTTAACTTTATGGTTATGGCACATTGTAGTGTACCATAAGTTGCATGTTAAGCAGAAAGTTTAGCATTATCTTATTGTGCTATTTTGTGTTTAATGTGGTATCATATTGTGTTGAATTTCACAAAAAAAAAATAACATTGTCATGTATCCTTCAGTGGATGGGGTGATTTGATGAATATGTATACCATGTTTAGTTGTTGCTTACTTTGTTGGAAATTTTAAGAGATAGGTGTGTAATACTTAATCTCTCACGTGAAATGTAGGCTCACCACAGTCAAATGCGCGAGCTGGTGGGGTGTGTGACTTGAAAAGGAAAGCAGAATTTATTAAAAGTGCATCTCCCGTGCGTAGAAGTGGTAGGCTGATGCTGGTACAGCTTAAGAAGAGACCAAAGCGGGATGCTGAACATGTGGATTTAGGTGAAGAAAACGATGATGGGTCCAAAGATGTTGATGATGTAGACAAAGAGGATAAGGATGACGATGAGGTTATGGGTTGTGCTGGAAATGATGTTGAAGATCCTGAGCATGAGGGTGATAGTTCTGATAGTGACGATGATTTTGAGGAACCCCCAAAGAAGAATATCAGTGTGGATATCCCCCAACCTGTGAATTCAAAAGTTGCAGCAGTGGTGAAGAAAAGGAAGGACGGACTTCGGAAGATGAAGGAAAAGTACATGAGGATAAGGACGAGATCTTCACCACATGTGTTGCAGGGAGTGTTGGATATAACATCCAAAAGCAGGAGATAGAAAAGATTGGTTTCGGTTCTATTCTGAGGTTACGGTTGACAGAACTGCCTGCCAAATTGGGGTTTTGGGTGGTAAAGAATTTTAATCCAAGGAGCAGCACGCTTGAGCTTCCAAAGCATGTCAGATTGCATATCAGCATAGAAGATGTTGAGCATGTGTTGGGCTTGCCGAGGGGAAATATTAAGATAAGTAACAAAGCAAGGAGTGAGAAATGTAGCCTGATTGAGGAGTGGAGAGCAGAATTTGGCAAGAAGGATAATAGGATAATGCCGTTGGAGTTGGGTCAAAAGCTGTTGACATACGAGGAGGGTGGGGTGTGGTTTGTTCGCCATTTTGTGTTGTTGGTAGTGGCACTTCTCGTAGATACTCCAAGCCATGGTTACGTTCACCCTGCTGTGTTGAAGAACATAGCTAACATTGATTCAGTAGTGAGATTGAATTGGTGTGAATATGTGCACAGGACATTGATAGACAGTGCAATCAGATGGGAGGATGGAAAGAGTAAATACTTCACAGGACCATTGATGTTTCTGATGGTATGGTTCACATGCACTATACTAAATTTGTATATATATTTTATTGAATTTGTTTTGCATGTAGCTAAATTTTTCTCTACGTTGTAGGTTTTCTATGTCGATAGGGTGGTTCTTTACAATAGGGATGTGGAGAGGACAACACCTGCTTTTGTTGGCTGGACCTCAAAGATACTTAGGGATAGAGAGAATAAAGAAGTGAAGGCTGGTGGATTTGGTTTGGGTTTTGACGATGGAAGGTATGTGTGTGAGAAATCTGTAGCTGAGGAAAACAACGTGGATGACAATGCAAAGGGGGCAGAAGGCGTTAAGGTTCGAGGAGAAAAAGATTCTATTATGAGAGAAGGCATTCAGCAGACTGAGATGCGAGATGATGATGGTGATGTGTTGAAGGTCGAAAGTTAGATGTTACAGTGAAAATGCACTGAACATGCCCTTTATTTTTATTGATAATGCGCATACTTTCTTATATTATGATTCATTATGCATCAGGTTTTTCTTAAAAAGTTTGCAGAAAAGGGTAAGATGCTGGCAAGGACAGTCGTGGAGTTAGTGTCGTTAATGGAGGGTGCACCAGCTGAGGCGATGAAGAACGATGTTTATGTGGAATTGCAGATTGCTGCTGGAAGGTTACTGGGATTAGTGAATAATAAACCAAAAGATGGTGTGCAGCCTGCGGAATGTGCATTTTCTGAAGTGTGTTATGATGAGTACATCTGGAGCGATCCTTCAAATATCTCTAAGTTGGTTGCATTAGAGGAGGCAGAGTTGGCGAGGAGGAAGTTCAAGCAGATGGTGGCTGATATACCCTCCTTTAGCCTTGGCATCACACAGGATGGTGCCTTGCAAGGAAGTGGTGATCAGCATGTGGTTGATGTTGGTAATTGCAGCAACAGTCCATTTACCCCTGTGCTTGGAGTTAGTAATGTGAATCAGGAACTCACCAATGCTTCGAATGAACGGAGAGGGTGTGGTGAACCTGGAACTAACATGCATACGGTGTGTAATGTGTTAATTAATGTTTTCGTGTATGCATGACTTTTCTATTGTGAATGAGTGTACATGAATTGGTTTTGATCACTTTTTCTTTGCATTTTAGGAAGATGGGGAAGCATGTGGCCAAGGGTCTGCCAGTGCTGCCATAAGAAGACATGATCCATCAGTAGTATGTGTATTATTTGAATTTTAATTTGATTATTAAATTAGATGAATGGGTGTGATGGTAGTTGGTATATGCACAGGTCAACGAAAATGAAGAGGGCATGATGGATAATGTTTTGGGAGAGGCACTGCCTTTCAAAAGTGTGAGTGTAATAGTTAATTGGTTCAATTTTTTTGAGTCATTTAATATTGGAGTCATAGTGAATATGTAATGAAAGTGCTATATTAATGATGTTTAGGGGGTGGAAAAGCAAAATGAACAGCTGAAACCCGCTCGGGTAATTAAACCAGCAGAATCTCTACGGTCTCCGTACGTGACAAGAGCAGTGGATTTGAATGATGGTTTGAGTACTGTGGAAAAGAGAGTGGGGAGATGGATCTTTAAAAACAGTAGTGCTCCAAGGTATGATGTAAACAACGGTGCGAATGATGTTTTTTGTGATTAAATATGTAATAGCTAGATGTTTATTTGTTCAATGTTCTCTACATTCGCAGGGAGGAAGTTGTTTTTAAAAAGGGTAAGTTTTGGTTAAGTAGAGAAGATATTTGTAGTCTGGACATATCGAAACACATTTCAAAGAAGGTGTTGGATGCATGGTGTGTGATTTTAAATCTTCGTGAGAAGTACCGGAGCAATACCTCACCACTACGATTGTTTGCAAAAACACTTGATTGTGTAAGTGTTATGACAGTTTTTAAATCTTACCACTTGGAAGTTTTTGTTTTCAATGAATTTACTAACTTTGAGATGTATAATATGAAGGTCGTGAACGGTGGTCATGAAGATAATTCGTTGGAAACAACGAGATTGATGTTTACTGATGCAATGAAAGCTGCTTGGGATGATGCAGAGGATAGATTTAATTGGGGGAAACCAGAATTGGTAGGAGACATTGATGCAATTTGAAAAACTAGTAACAACTAACTATAATTAAGCATGGTTAATAAAATGTTTTATGGATCTGTGGCCTCGTTTTAGCATGGCTATATTGTTTAGGAAACTGATAATAATTGGTTTCAATGAAATGCAGTTCTTTTTTCCGATAATGCAAACAAACTGGAGTTATGTGTTGTGTGTGGATCTGAAAGGCAGAAGGTGTGACATTCTGGACAGTTCATCTGCGAAAGCCAAGAAAGAAGAGCGATATGGAGAAATGCCATCACTAGTGGTAAGTATGCAGTGCCCAGATTTATTTATGCGCTGAAATGGATTATTTCCTGAAGTTAATTTTATACGTTTTGATTTTGTGAAAGCTGAATATGTTGGCCGATTTCTTGGAGCATCATGGATTTAGGAGCAAGGCAGCCTGTATACGTGAACTTCAACCTAAAAGAATTGGGCTACCTTGGAGGGATGCAAAGCAAGTGTATGACTACGGGGTGGCAACAATGCGTCACATGGAGACATACATGGGAGAGGGAGCGAAGGGATGGGATTGTGGTCTGTCGAAGCTAAATTACAAGCCAGTTTTTGTCCTACGTATGAAGTACTGTGCAGCAATTTTACTCCACGAGGTGAACGAGTTGATGGAGATGGTAGAAAACGAGTCTTCTAAAAACGATAAGATGCTTAAGGGGAAGAATGTTGAGTGAAAAGCAATTCTGATCCTCTGACTTCGTGTTGTTGACGGGGAGTTTTTTTTTATGTTTTGAGAACTAAGGGTTTTTGTGTTTTTTGTTTGATTTGTTTTTTGGGGGAGGAGCCATTCCTTCACATGACATGGGTATGATGTTTTGGACGTATGCATGCGTTACTAGTGGTAGGATGATCTTGTTTACATGACAGATGTGTTTAATTCTCTCAATTATGCACTACCCTTGGTAATTCTTTAATTGCCGTTTATTTTATTTAGAAATCAACAGTGGAGTTCATCCTAGTAGGAATTGGTGATATGTTTACTGGGGTATTCTAAGAAGCAGATGATTTTGTTGGATGAAACATTTATACAGGCCGATTACATTATGCAATATATATTTGGTAAATATGTGATCACATAACGTGTATATACATAAAGCAGTGGCCTAATACACAATTATAGTTGAATTTGTTGTGTGTCATTATCATTTCAAAAGGTTGTAGGGGGAGTGATTGCAAAGCCTGGTGTATGTATTGAGAATGGCGAATTGTGATATAGTAATGATGGGTTAATGCGCTAATAACTGTGAGAAATGTAAAATGTAGTGAGATGTGCATGAAGATGAAAGAGTACATAGAGATTTATAGAAAAAAATAAAGTGGTACAATGTTGCATCCAGAAAGAAGATTATCATAGCCCCTTATTCATTGGGCAGTTTCGACTGTCGTGGTAACCAACTTCTTTGCATGTTCGGCATACTCTCTTTTGTTTTTTGGACTGCTCCATGCTTATTTCTACGGTACTTTTGATGTGTTTTCCACTGCCCTTGTTATGCACCTTCTCGAGAGGTAAAACACGAATCTCAGATGGTGTCGGTGTGCCATAGTAAGCTTCAAAAATCCTGTTCTTTTCTAGATCTGAATCTCCGGAATAGGCCAATCTCTCGAGGTTTTGTTTTTTTGTTTTAATAACCTTGGTAAATGCATCTAACAACTCAGAATCATTCTCCGCAAGTGCAACACACGCATGGATGTTAGCCCACAAATGGTTTATCTTCCATCTAGTATTCTCTTGATTTGAATCCCCTTTCAATTCCACACGAGACAGATCCAAGATAACGTTTTGCTATGTCAATCTTACACCATCGCTTTGTAACGTAATTGTCAGGAATAGTGGGACATCCCATTGCTATAAGAACAACAAATATATGCCTACAGAGGAGCCCAACGCGCTGATAATGCTTGCATGAACATGATGCGTATGAATTATCTACGGAGTACATAACTGAGAACGTCATACCTCTATTGTCCTTAATCGTGTAGTGCAGTTTATCATCGATGTTCTCAACATGTGTGCTAAAACACGAGAAACATGCAGCAGAAATCTCTTTTTGCACATCATAAAATACTGACAACGTATATATGGCAGCGGCATGCCTCTCAATTGGCAACGGAGTCTTGAACACAGGAATGCACGATTTAGAATCTGCATTTAACTTAGCATTCCTGTGGCGTTGTGCATCCATGGCACTTTCAAACTACATCGAGAATTCTACGAGACTGAAATGGGGGTTAGAGAACTCCTCGAAGAAGCTGTTCTCACTTTCAGAGCATGAAGTTGTTCGTAGTAAACCAGCCATGAATTGGTCTCTAAAATATGCTGGGATCCACGTTTGGCAAATGTTAAACAACTTAACAAACCATTTGTGTTTCACCAGATTGTAATTATGCATTACCTCATTCCATTTGTGCTCAAAATCGCGTGGGTCTAGATAATGGCTCCAAATAACTTCATTCAATTGTGTGAGAAAGACAGAATCCTTGTTTAGCGGTTCCCCCACTTTTTTCCCTACGTTTTTAGTAATATGCCACATGCAATACCTATGTGTTGTCTGTGGGAAAACTTCGCTGATAGCAGTCGTCAATGAGGGATCTTGGTCTGTTATGATGCACTGTGGATCATGGTCCATTGCATCCTGAAATTGGCGAAAGATCCATGTATAGGATTCTATGTCTTCGTTGCAGAGTAAACCAGCTCCAAATGTAACACACTTTTGGTGATTATCCACGCCTGTGAATGGAGTGAACACCATGTTGTACCTATCATTTTAAAGAACAAAGTGTGATTGGATTAAAATGGTATTCAAATTTGCATTGTCATAAAATGATTGGTGTTACAAAAAAGCTATACATGTAAGCACACCTGTTAGTCTCATACGTAGCATCGAAAGAGAGAACGTCCCCAAACAGAGCCCAGTTTTTCCTAGCAACGGGATCGCACCAAAATAGTCAGGTAAGTTGGTCCGTTTCATCAACATCATATGCAAAACGAAATGCAGGACATGTTTCTTGTCTTCGAAACATTTTGTCGATGATCATTTGTGCATCTCCACCCGCAACATATGCCTTAAGGTCTCGTTTGAAGTTCTTGAAATCAATTGCTGTGGCGCCTATGTTATTATACCCGCCAACTGACTCCTTAAACAATTGAAATGATTTCATGGTGCCGATATTTGCTTTGGAACAATTCAGCATGAATTTTTTGTGTCCAATGTCAACATTCTTATTGATCTTCAAAAAGGGTCTCGAGAATGATGAGAGCATCGGGTGATTGTGGCGTTCCTCAAAGGAGGTGATTTTGTATCCAACACTACCACATAATCTGAAAATTACACGTGCTCTACAGCCAGTGCGGTTGGAAACACGACGCCGAATCGTTTTCTTACCATTTGGGGTGGTCGTAGACATACTGGGAGCATTGCTGGAGAGCTGAGCAGCGTGTTTATGACCTTCACGACTGCATAAAATATACTTCCATACATTTACACCATCTGGAGACTTTGTAGACATACCCAACCGAATATCAAAACCTGCCAAAAGCGCGTAGTTCTTGTAGAACGAAATCCCATCTTCAAGCTTCTCAAAAATCATTCCCACTTTGGGCTTAGAATCTGCTGGGCATTCTGGGATGCATATATTTGGATCAAAAAATGATATTTCTTCGGGAAATACATGCTGGGACAGATTTATCGCATTTTCTTCCACTAATGTATTCGTATATCCCCCTATGCATAAAAATAAAAATTTCACCAACAAATTTCGCCAACAAATAAAAATTTCACCAGCAAAAGTGAAGAATGCACAAACATTTCATATAGTACAAGTGCAGAATCAGGAAAATATGTTCCAAATAATTATTTTCCTACAAATTTATTTTCCAAAATCCAGAAAATTGAATTCGTCGGGCTGGTACCTGCGTCCATGGCTGAGGGCTCCGTCATTGCAGTGAAGATCCAATGCTGTACTGATCAAGGGATTCTGAAAGCCCTTCCTTGCGTAAGATACAATATAGGAATTAAAATTAATGGAATCCATATGTAAAAGGAAACGGAAATCTGGAAGATGGAATGGAAGGGTAAATTAGGCGAGAAAAAACAGGGAAAGTGGCGAGATGTCCGGGTGTTGAAACGTAGAGGTTCTAGAAGGAAGGAGATCTGGAAATACTTTTATGCCCCTCAGCGGAAGTGGAGATCTTAGATCTGGAGATGAAGATCCGACGGCTTATATTTATTCCTACTTCTTTCATTAGATTCTATTCTCATTTGAACCAACTTCTATATATATATATATATATATATATATATATATATATATATATATATATATATATATATATATATATATATATATATATATATATATATATATATATATATATATATATATATATAT